TTTTGCCAGAGTTTTGAAAAAGTTAATTTAAACAGAGAAGTAATAAGTATGTGTTTGGAATGTGTTCGACCATCGTCATTGAACAGGGGTCGGTGATGAACTCGAGCCTAACAATTGATTTCAACCCTAACCTAACCTGATATTTCTTAGAAGATTACTATTTATCGTATGGCGGTTAACAGAGAATCTCGATGCGATATACGAAGGATAAAAGCGGAAACGGTTCCGTCTAAATCGTGTCGCACGTTACCAAGTATTTCCACGGAAGGAACGATCGTAGAAGAAAAGTACTTTGGCGTGTTGTAATCTGAAACCGTGGAAATGAAAGCGAAATGCGGGGCTTTATGATAGCGGGAGAGGAGCTCGTGCAGCCATCAAGCATGGCCGCCGTTTGTCGTTCTCGCGTGAGGAGGAATGCGAATATAGGAAAATCCATTTCCTTTGAACGAAGATCCGAAATAAAAAGTGGTGTTTCAAGTTCTAATCGGCCGAAAATGAAGAGTATTTGAAATGGGGGACATCCTCGATACGTGTTCTCGGATCAAACGCGGGGCTCTGCTCGTTTCGAGGAAGATGGAAATAAAATATTTCGACTCGTTCGAGGCAAGTTTTTGAAAACTTCGTAAAATTTAAGATTCGTTCAATTTTCTCTTTTTTTCAATGAGAATATTTTCGTAAGTTTCTTATCTTCCTGGTAATTTGGAAAAGACACTCGCGAGAAATTGACTTTCTCTAATTTATTTTCGACTTTACTCTGAAAAAAAAGAAAAGAAAAATATTAAAATTTAATCGATATCCAAATAAAACGAAATGAAATATAATATCATCCTTTTTATCTTTAAAACTTTTCTCCGAGGTTTTATAGAATCCTGCGATTGGCTTATTTTTTCCAATTCAACGGTTTCCATACAAATCGGGAGAAGTTCGCATTTAATTTCATCGCTCCCTTCATTGTCTTCGATATTTGCGATATTTTTCTGTCATCGCCTTGGAACAAAAGCAACTGATTCGAAGAATATACGAAATACTAACTCGTTCATTGTCCACGAACGAAACTCGCATTCACCGTGTTCATTAACCTGGCTTCGAGAGCGATAAGAGCATAGAAGGATCAAATTTCCCCAAATGTCTCCTTCTAAAGTAACCACTTACGAGGAAAAATAGGAACGTGGTCGCGTCACGACTTGATGAAAACAACATCTCCGTCAATCGTTTTGTTAATTGCATTAAGAAAAAAAAAAAAAGTAGAAGAGTTTCCATTAATCGAACGATCCTGTCTCTATTATTTCACGTTTAAACAATTTCGCGTGAATCGTGTCTGATCCAACCCATCCAAGTTTCCAGATCCAGTTCTAGCTGAACAAGAGACCCTCCCAGATAACAGTCTGCCCACAGAGGGTGTCGCCGTCGTGGCAGAGACTTCTTTCGTCCCACATGCGACTTCCGGCCAGGGGAAAAAAAAAAAAAAAAAAAGAAAAGAAAAAAGGAAACTCGAGTTCGTGTAGGTGGCGACCGAATGGAGGCAGCCTTCTGAAGATTGCAAAGGCAATTTCCGCCGACAATGTGGTCCACTTTATTCCACGCATGGTGCGTACCCTCGCCACTCTCGAGGGTCGAGAGGGCAGAAAGACGAAGGGAGTTGAGCCTCTTTTATTTTTCGGACGATACGTCCTGCAAAAGAGGCCCTCTTGTTGCTGCCGAGGGAAGGAAGGGGGTTGTTGAAAGGGGGTCGAACAAGGAGGAGAGGGGGGGGGGGAAAGGGAGGGATAAGAAAAAAAAGCAACGTGTGTTATGAAGCTGTTAAACGAGTCACGTTGCTTTAAGGGTTGGTTTTTTGCTTCGTTGTGGTTTCTTGTGAATTTTAAAAATATTTCTTTTAAAAGAGAAATCGGACCTTTCTAAATTTTTTTTTTCTATGTCGGTTGAAAAATGTATGATATATGATCCGATATCTCGTTCTGTCAATCACGTTTATTTCGTTTAATACTCGGATATGATGTCTGTTTGTTTTAATAACAAGTCGAGAATAATGTTCCTTCGATTTAAACATTTTCCCTCCTCCTTCCTCCTCTTATTAACGATAATAATCTCAATTGTTGATCTCAATATTTATATAATGATAAGTAATTTTTTTAATCTTTTTAACCTCAGTTTGCTGCGAATGAAGTTAATGGGTTTATTATAAATTAAGGTTTTATAATTGATTAATTAAGAAAGACTGTTCGCAAAAACAGTTATTGCTTTGGATACTAAAAATTTTCTTCTTATCGCTTCTTTTAGATTTGTTATAAAGCTTGAATTTTAATTAATCGTACATTTTACCACTGTGGAATTTTATCGATATATTTCAGTCTTCAATTTTTTTTTTTTTTTAATCTCTTTCAATTCATAATCTCTGGAACATTTCCTACTAGATTTCACTTGCTCCTTTGTACTGTATCCAAAATTAAAATTCTTGTCTTTTTTATAAATATCTTTAACATTCACATATCACCACCATACGAATCTAGATACAGATTCGTTAAATTTTCGATCGCTATGAGAGTATAATAATTAACATTCAGAAAAAAAGGATTGACGATCACTCTCGATGGAAAATTGGAACGCCGCAGAGAAAGGTCGTGGAAACGGGCTATCGTTCCAGAAACTCGATCAAGCTTTAAGGACCTTATATGAAATTAATGCGCGCGGTTTCCAGTCGAGCGTGCTATCCATTTGCCATTCATTCGCGAGAATATTCTCCGTCCGTTTCCTTGGTCGGATTGCTATTTTGTCAGCCGACACGACATTTCGAAATAGATACTTGGCCTCGTTTGCGCAACACGTCATGCACCTGTAAAAAATATAGATAATAAGTATATATAGTTATAGTAACTCGCAATTGTAGTATATCGTGTCGGGAACATTTTGAAACACATGCATAAGAGATACATTTCAGAGACAAGAGGTTTCTCGAGACGCGGTGTTTCAGAGAAATGTATACGAGAGTAACATATTAACAGAATTGTAACAATATCGGCGATTTTTAAAATTTGTACATTCCGTTTGGTAAAAAAAATTAAATACCTCCTACGATGTGTAAAAATTTAAATGTAGAATCAATATATGCGATGATGTAATTATATATTAGAGAAGAGAAAAATAAACATGTATATATTTATAACATTAAATAAAAATTGGATCGAATGGATTTTCTTAAAATTTGTAATCGAAAGATTAGGAAAAAAATAATAAGCGTAGATGAAAGGGAATATTGGAAGAACAGAAATAGAGTGAAAATGTGGGAATCAACGCCATCTTTAGAATGCTTCCAGAATTTATATAAGTGATATATAAGCAAATATGAAGTAAGAACTATCTGTCAGCGGTATCTTTTGAGTGCTAATAACATTTTTCTTAAAGTAGGATAAAATAGAGTAAAATTGAAGACCAGCGCCATCTCTTGAGTATCAAATATATTTCTTTTAGATAGGGTAAAGTAGAATAAGAATTGAATATAAACGCCATCTTTTATATATTTTTAAAAAAATGTTTTTTGTAATCGAGAGATGGCGCTAATTGGTCATTTTTTTTATTCTTTCATCCCTTTTCTATCCTATTTCCTTTCTTTGTTTTATTTTATCTGCAGTAATGGAAATTGATTTCGTAATTTTTAATCCATTTCTATTTTTCTTCTATTATTCGCTTTTCTCGCTTTTGATTCTTGAAGTGATATGATCAAAGTTGTTGAAAACAATTCTTATTTCTTTTTCAAAATTAAAATGTCTAAATTTTCAATGTGAAAAAATATAGATAATATATTTTCGAGTTTATAATGTATCTTTAGAATAATCTCATGAAATATATTTAAAAATGTAAAAACTTTGTAAATCATTCGTTCACTATCGATTCTATATAGTTAATGAACTTGTAAAAAATCGTAACATAGCTTTCTTCTTTATAATAATTCAGAAATATATGAATTATAAATAAAATATAATTTTGAAAAAAAAGTAATAAAACATATATGAATTATAAATATTATAAATACAATTTTAAATATACAAAACTAAATTTTTAAATAAAATAGAAAATAGAATAGAAATATATGTGTGTGTATATATACGTACAAAATAAAAGAATAAATTTTTTATGTATCTTCTAATAAATTATTATTAAACTCGACATATCTAATTTTATTCTAATAAAACATGTATAACAAACAAAAATTCAGTTTAATTAACTTTTTATATAAAAAAAAAACTAATTAAAACTGTAAAATTATATTATATACACAATGTACAATATAATAAATATAATTGTATATAAAATATAATTTTATAAATAGAAAAGGATTTTTTCTACAATCTAAAATAATATGTTCGTCGATATCTTTGTGCATCTCTTTCATATTCGTTTATTTAATATTTTAATTAATATAATTGCACTTCCTGTTATTATCTTTCTATTATACTTATCTTTAATATTTATATAAATATATATATATAATAAAATATTTTTATTATATAATTAATAAAAAAAACATCGTATAAATATTATTTCTTAGATTATTACAAAATTTTTTTCATCATTTATTGTCAATTTTTATTAGAAAAATATATTGTATAAAAATAACAATATTAAAAATTTGAAAATTTTCTTATTAAAAATTTAGTATTTAGATAGTAATATTGGATGCATATTATATTAGTTTGGACGATGATTGCTTAGAAATTATTAATTATTGATTATAATTAAAAAATTATATCTTAAAATTAATTTTCTAATTAAAGTTGATATTAGATAATAATATCATTAATAATAATAATAATCAATAATGATAATATAATAAGCTATTATAGTGAAAAAGCAGTTATTATATCATATCACAGTTAAATTATCGATAATTGTTCGATATAATTGTAATATAATTGTTCAAATTGGCAAAAAAAAATATATATTCAATAGAAATCTTTAAATTTTTTAATCGAAGAATTATCCTATAGATCTAAATCTAAATATATTGTTTATAAGTTTTTTTTTACATATTCTAAAATATATTTTTTGAAAGCAGGTGATAGTTCTTTTATTGTCTCTTCTATATGTTCAAATAAAACTGTTAATATTTCACATACTTTTTTTTGTATTTGTTTGTTATTACCAAGAAGTTCTGAACTAAATTGTATCAAACTTTCTTTTATATAGCACCATATAAAATGAACTGCATTTGATAAATATTCTGAACAAAATTCAGATTGTGTTATTAAAGTAAGAGATATTTCAAATATTAAAATAAAAATATTTGGAGCATTATTCATACATTTTATGTCATTTAAAATATTATCAAATTCAGATTCATATTTTTCTCTGTTATTATCATCTAAAAACACATTTTTTAATAAATCCAAAAGCAAATCTTTTAATATGAAGAACATATCTTTGCTATCATTATTTTCTTCATTTTTGAATAAAAATTTCTTCTCATTTGAAAATTGATCATTCTTAATTAATATTTCTATAAATCTCATTGGATCTAATAAACGAACGCCGCAAATTATCAATTTCCCATTCTCAAAATAAAAAGTATTTCTTTGAGTGGGAATACTACCCACATTATTTTTTAATCTTAAATCTATCTTTCTATTGATATAACGTATTACCTCAGCATTTTCGGATATTATATCTGTATTGTTTGCTGCAGCATTACGTTTTGTACGATTAAATTGTCTACGAAGATGTTTAGAACGCAATGTAGATCTATATTCATCTAAAATTTTACCTTGGGTAGATCTAATGAGATCTTCTGCAAACTGTAAATTTATAACTGCATTACCAAAAAATAATATATGAGCTGACAAACTTATCACATCTAACATATGAATTTGATCTTCTTCTTGGTATTTTTGATACATACAATAAGCCTGATATCCTATACCAAAACCATTAATACCTAAATTACTTAAAACTAATGTATTGTATGCAACTTTAGCAACATTGCTTATATCATTACCATTTTTTACAAGTTTAGTAAGAATAATATTTCCACTATTGCTTATTAAACCAACTGCACTGCCAATTATACTTAACCATGAACAAAAGGAATCCTTATTTGTTAATCCTATACTTTGTTTATGAGAATTTCTATCCATTAAATTCTGTACTGATCTACCAGTTGCCCATACACCACTTATACTAGAAGCTATTGTAGCACCTAAAATTGTAATATTATTATGATTTTATTTATTTTGTTATATCTTAAAATAACAAAAATTATTTTCTTATTATTGTCATATTTTAAAATAGCAATTAGTTTTGAGACAGTATAATGAATTACATTATTATATATTATTTTTTGCTATTTTATTCAACTTACCCATTACAACTGGTCCAATGGGTGTGAAAATAGATGCTATACCCAAAGTAACTCCACATATGCCAGCTACTGTAGAAGCTATATCTCCATGTTTAAGAATAGTTGCTTGTATACTACATGCAGGTGAATCCAAAATTTCCAACCATACTGTTGAATATTGTTCAGTAATTTCATAATTTGGATCAGGATGATAGAATCCATCTTTTGGAAGAACCATTGTACATTGTGGTAAAGTATTATTTTTTATATAATCTATCCAAGTTTTATATACTCTACCATTTCTGTCAATATACCATGTTTGTTCCTCTTTAAGTGTTTTATCTAAATATCTTATTTTAAAAATTGGGGTTGAATATATCTGTATTTTATCTTCTATTTCAGAATCAGTTACTTTTTCTTCTTTTGAATTAGATACTTCAGTCACATTATTTTTTGTACGAAATGATATATTATAAATTACTCCATAATATATTGAATTTGCATCTATACATCCTTTACCATGTGTATATACTTGCTCATAAACAATATTTATAATTTGTTCTGCATTAGCTTTGTAACAAAGTGTTTCAGTAATATCTTTTATTTGTCTATTTTCTTCTATTTTTTTATCTTCAATGTATACATTTTTATTTTCTTCATTCTCTGATGGAGGACCAAAAAGTGCATATCCGATATTTTGTCTTAAATATTTACATTCATCTATAGTATATTTTGTCCATTCTGGTAAAAGTTCATAAAATTCTTGTTGTTGTAATTTAGCAATTTTTAACATTTCATCCTATAAAAATATAAAATACAATTAATTATAATTAAGATGCAAAAAAAAGAATTAAAATTTCATTTATATATAATAATTCATATTTACCCAATCATTATCTGAAATTGACATTTTATTTTTTTATTTAAGTATAAAATTTGTTCCAAAATTATTTGAAAATTTTCAATAAATATGTTTACCTATAACATATAATACAATAGTAGATTTAATAAAAATATATTAAAACAAGAAAATTATTTTCATAAATTCTTATATATTATTTTTCTTTTATATTTTATACTTTTTGAAAAAAAATAAAACCAAATGTATGAATATTTACCTTTTAACTATTTAATAACAAAAATATTATATTAATGCACTTGTAATATTAAATTATTGGAAATAATACTATATTTATAATCAAACACTATGTCAAGAATGAACAATAAATAGAATGCACAGCCATATAAATATATAATCTTCTATGAATAATAACCTTTCTGGGATTTCTTTTCTGGGATTTCCATATATTAAAATTTAAAATTTCTTATGTACATATAATTATTTACATATTACGCAGTAAAAATTTTACATCATCTATAAAATAGAATAAAGAAACTTAGTGATACAACTAGCCAATCTGAAAACTAAAATTCCTCTAAAAATTAGTTAATTGTTAAATAGCAAATATAAATATCTTCGCTTTTTGTATAATATAGAAATCAAATATGAAAATCTCCATATTTTTTCTATACTGCTATTTTTATAATTCTTAATTTAAATTAAGAATTTGAACTCTCAACAATAATTTTGTATTTGACAATTTTCAATTTTTATAATGAGATCATAAACTGATTATAAATATTATTAGATTATAATTAGAAAAATAAATCTCTTGAATTTTTTGAAGCGTAAAATAAAAAAATAAAAAAATATGAAAAACTTATTATCTTTTTCTTGAATGTGTTTTGGTTAGTCAACTTAAAAAAATAAAATTTATCTATATATTACTAACAAATTTCTTTTTACATAATATTCATTGTAATACTAAAAATAAAATTTCTTCAAAAATAATATATGATTTATATTTATGTATGTAATATTTTATTTATACAAGATTTGTCAGCATACATATATGATTATTTATTAAAATAATTATAAATATATCTTTTGTCATTTGATATCTTATTATTCAAAATAAAAATAAATAGCAATATAAAATAATAAAAGTATAAAGTATAAAATAAGTAAAATAAGTAATAAATAAATAAAATATTTTATGTAAAAACAATGAAATATCTTTCAATAAAAAATGTTATGAAAAAAATGTTCTTACGAAAGTAATTTGGTATGTATAAAGATACATTATGAACATTTTTTTATAGATGATCACAAAGCATTTATATAATAAAAATAATAATGAAGTTAATGGAATCATCATTTTTAATGCACTAATCAATTCAAATTTCACAAATTAATCGATCATTATTTTCTATAAAAAAATATTAAACTATTTATTTATTTAAATTTCAATTCGAAAATTTACTAGTCTAGGAAATATTATAATACGAAGTTTATAATGCTTATTATATAAAAGATAAGAAAAGTATCATTTAATATTTTCTGTGTATAATAAATTTTATATATTTTCAATTATAATATCTAACGATTATTTTAAAGTAATAATTTTTCAACATAAGTGATTTAATACTTTTTTTCTAGAAAATAATAAACTGCATCAATTAATATATTAATAATATTAAAATTATATGATTCCATTTAAAAAATTAAGGTTAATCTTCATATAATATTTCTGCATTCATTTACAAAAAATATATTTTATAATATACATTTTTATACATTTTTATTTTTATATCAAATAATTTTTATACATAAATATTTTTAAATATTTTTTATGTATATGATATTATTTTTATTAAAAAATATTTTATTTTTAATAAAATATTCTATATGAAATAATACGAATGTATTGTATGCAAAAAAATTAGAAATATTGAAAAGTTTTATAATAAATGAATCTAAAGAAGAAATTTCAATATTAATATAAAAACAAATATTAACGAAAAATTGTTTTTTAATAAATTTGTTATGCAATTATTTATATAAATAATCATTGATTATAAAAATCATAACTATACAAAATTTATAGTACATTTTATGATGTAAAAATTTATAATTGTAAAAGATCATTTAGAATTATTGAAAATAAATTTATCAATCAAATTTAAGTGAAAAAAAAATAAAAATTAAATTTATTTTATTTATATGATAATTTAATAATATTATAAATAATATTTTATATTTTCAATTTTCTTAATGCATAAATAAAAAATACTTTCATTGCTATAAAAATTATTTATATTATATTATTAATTTCACGTTTATAATGTTTTATATATTTATATTTTAATATTATATAACCAAATTTTGTTATTTTACATAATATATATTTATATAAAATGGTGGAAATATAAACGCCTCTGACAGGAATAAAGTAAAAATGAAGTAGATAATATTAGATTTTTCTAGTATCAGATTATTATTTAATTTTTTATTTAATATTTTTATTCAAAATTTTATTCAGAAGATTTTTTATGTATATATTTATTGCAATTAAAAAAAATTAGTGATTTTCATTACTAAAATTAATGATTTTAGTAATTCATATTCAATAATTTATATTTATAAGAATATAAAATTTTGGTGCATAAAATTCTCAAATCTTAAATTTCTATATTATAGTTCATCCATGTTCGTAGTACTCGATCTCTGAACACTGTGCTTGTGCGCCAACTAGCGACAAGAATCAACACTACTTTTTCTGCCGAATCGATATTCTGCTCAAATATTGACTTCGCGATTGTGCGTGGTGTCGCAAGCGAGTCGTGCAGTAGACGGCGATGCTCTTTTAAAAAGCGAGTTCTTACGAGTGATAAGTCAAGTGCTGTCGATTGAAGAACTGGTAATCAGAATATCCTGGAAACAGGAAATACAGAAAATGCTACTAGCGGCTAGTGCTGTGTTTTTTGGATTGACCCTTGGTCTCTCCCACGCGAGTATCTCAGCACTCGAGTCGACACCGAGCTCTTTCAACAATCATGGAGGTGATTTCATTTCTCTTTTCTCATGCCCTACATTCATTTAATTTTCTTAGTTATTGTTTCTTTTTCTAAAAAATTGCACACAGCAAATTAATTTTATATCTTTTATCGAATTACACACCACTTAATTGTATGTCGTTTATCGAATAGTAACTCGCAGGTGCAATTGTTCTTTCGAAAGCACCTGCAGTCACTGAAACTGTTATGGCGAATTCATTGACTTGTTCCGATCGGTATTACGATAGATGTATAAAATTGCATCGGATAAAGAATGATATTACAAGTATAAAACTTTGGTAAATATGAGCGAATTATATGTTATGATTCCGCTTATGATAGGATTAGTCATGCTTTATGATAACAAAATAGATGTGAATCAGATTAGATTTACTCGCGTCGAAAACTTGGACTCTATTAAAAGTTACAAGAATGAAGTGACATTTTATGACGCTATCAAATATATCGCTGTAAATTTCATGTTATTTTTAATTTTTTTATCTGATATGTAATATTTAAGAATTTAAGATGATAAGATTGATTACTAAATATTTATATACTTAAAAAAATGAAAAAATTCGCAAATGAACTATTTTTTTAAATATTGGAAATCATTTTGATATATATGACTGCATTTTTTCATATTTAATTAAATATCATTTATGATTATAATATTTATAAATATATATTAATATATCATTTTATCTAAATTTCTTAAAAATATTTTATTTTCTATATTATAATTAGCATTTGTATGAAAATAATTATTAAAGAATTTTTCAATAATATTACGTTAATTCTATAATTACAAATTATATTTTATGCATTAATTTTTATAAGATATTATAAAAATATATATAAAATTATAAATTTATTGTTTATATTATTAATATAATATTTATATTTTGTATCATTATAAGCAATATTATTTTCATGTGTTATAAAATAATTGTTGTGATGCTTGTTACAATAATTACAATATATATATATATATATATATATACACTTTTTTTTTATTAATATTTAAAATATTTTGCATAACAATGCAAAGTATTAATGAATTATGTGATAGTGTTCATAAAGCATTATGTGGTTTATATATACTATATCTATACGTATATCGATGCTTTTCTTTTTTATGTCTTTTTTTTTAATTAATTTCGATGTGTTTTGATTTATAATCACGTTTATATTCGACAATAACTAAAAACAGTTCGATCGATTTCGTCTGTATCTCAAATTATGTGATATATCTCGCTTTTATAAACGTTGTTTTTTAATTCAAAGCAGAATAAAATCTCATTCGAAATAAAATTGAATCAAAACGTTTTTTGAAATGAATAGCGATGAATCGAACGTTCGTGTCGATTTATCTCGACTTGTATGTAATAACTTCAATCGATAATAACAATTTTACTATTGATCATTTGTTCAGTTTGAAAAAAAATTTTAGATATAATAATTTACAATGTATATTTATATATTATATATCTATATAACTATTTAATTATGAATATACTTAATTATACTATGATTATATAACTTTAAATATGATAGATTCTTGCAATATATTCTAATTCTTTTTTTATTTATTTATTTTTTTTTATATATTATTAAAATACTTAAAATTTTTAAAAAGAAATTATGCAATATATATTTTATATTATAAATAATAAATGTAATATTAAATGTTTTTCTTTTTAAGTATAAAGATTAATCATAAAGATTAATGAAACATAAATAATGATAATAATGGCATTAAATTTTCAAGTCGGTTCATTAGTTGTAATGAAATCTTCGTGTTTTCAATTAAAATTATAAATTTATATATTATATTTACTTACCTTACCTTACAATATCGAATCACTCTTATACTTTGGATTATAGATATTATATTAAATTCAAAGAAGATTTTGCTCTTACCAAAGTTCAATTTTAACTTTAACCTTTCTTTTATATTATAAGATTGTAATTTTTTATACATCAGATTTATTTTAATTAAATATTTAATTAATGAATATATAAGTTGTATCTAGATATTATTTTTATAATATATAAATTATTTTATGAACTGTTATATATATAAATCATTAACAAGTAATTAATTTATATGAATAAGCATGAATAAATTTTTTAATTAAACTAATTATTTACTTTTCTATTTTATATAATAAATGATGATTTTATTTTTGATTAAATAATGATGAATAATGTAGATATATGTAAAATGAAAAAATAAAAAATAAATTTAATCAATAATCAAAACATAAATGAAATCATAATCTTCAAATGATAAACAATTTTTAAAAAATATTTACTTATTTATATGTATACATATATATATAAAAATTCATAAGTAGAGAGTTAATTGTAACTGAATAATATATTCTTAAATTTTTTATTTTGATAATT